CTTCCTTCCTTCCTTCCTTCCTTCCTTCCTTCCTTCCTTCCTTCCTTCCTTCCTTCCTTCCTTCCTTCCTCTCCCTCCCTCCCTCCCTCCCTTCCTTCCTTTTTCATCATTATCTATCTACCTACATACCTACTACCTACCTATCTATATCTTCATCATCATCATTATCTATATACGTATCTACCTACCTATCTACCTACCTACCGATCTATATCTTCTTCTTCTTCATCATCATCACCATTATCTATCCACCTACCTACCCACCCACCTACCTACCTACCCACCTACCTACCTACTAACCACCTACCTACCTACTAACCACCTACTTATCCACCTGCATACCTATATACCCACCTATATACCCACCTGCCTACCTATCTACCTGCCTGCCTACCTATCTACCCACCTACCTACCCACCTGACTACCTATCTACCTACCTACCATCCTATCTACCTACCTAGCCACCTACCCATCTATATATCTACCTACCCACCTACCTACCCACCTGCCTACCTATCTATCTATCTACCTACCCACCTACCTACATGACTGTCTGTCTGTCCGTCTGTCTGTCTGTCTCTCTCTCACACACACCTGTCTGTCAGTCTAGCTGTCTATCTGAGAAAATTGTTACAAGCTTTTATAAGATTTTCATTGTCCTCAATCAAGTTGCACCGAGTCTCTGGGTCACCAAGGCAGTTGCTGGCTGACCTAAAGGGGATTTGGCTTGCAATCCTGCCCAAAGTTTTAATGCCTTTGACAGATCCCCCGGCTGACATGATGATGTGCGCCCCAACCTATTTTAATTTAATTTTTCTTTCTTTTGCTTTTTCTCAACAGTACAATTTGTTAGGCCAGAATAAGACGGCAGTCAGAGAAGAGATGGTGCAGCTGGCAAACTTTCTGGATAGTGTAAGTGGAAGAAATTCATGGCAAATGCGCAGAAGGTCAAATCTGTTGACCAAGAGGTGTGTCCTTCCCCTAATAAAGTGTGGAGGAAATTATTATTTTTTAAATCTATTAAATATTTATAAATGTACTTAGTAATTACCCTGCCCACTGGGGTCACTTGAGACCATATACAATGGGAAAATAGCTTGACCCCCTCCTCTCTGGTAGACCCTCAAATATTGGAAGTCTGCTCTCGTGTCTCCCCTGGTCCTTCTCGTCACTAGACTAGAGCATTCACTACAAATTCACTCAGCTGCTCCTGAGGTATTCAGGGGCGCTGAGCATCCATCGGTCGTATAAAATAGGTAATTAAAGAAGGTGATAAAACGCTTCTATGATATTGCCAAGAAAAAAAAAACAGTGTATTTATAAAGTCACTAGAGGCCAAGACGCCTCTTTTCAAAATAAGACTGACTGTTATTTTGAAAAGAGGCGTCTTGGCCACTAGTGACTTTATAAATGCACTGTTTTTTTTTTTCTGGGCAATATCACAGAAGCGTTTTATCATCTTCTTCCATTTTAAGGCCTTTTTTAACGAAGGCCACGCCCAACCTCTGTGTGGTTCCCTCTTCCACCATCCTCTCTGTCCTTTTCCAGATCTACATCATGCTGAACATCCGCATCGTGTTGGTCGGCCTGGAGATCTGGACGTCGGAAAACAAGATCCGGATGGAAGGAGGCGCCGGAGATGTCCTGTCCAATTTCGTGCAGTGGAGGGAGAGGGAACTGGTTCCCCGCCGACGGCACGACAGCGCCCAGCTTGTTCTGTAAGATCTGGGCACCCCCCTTTCTTCTGGGCAAGGAGGCCACACACTCACAAAAGCCTGACAAGGTAGTCCATGACTTCCGACCACAGTTCGGGCCAGAATTCCCGTTAAGCAAGACAGTTGTCAACTCATAAAATAATTCCTCTGGTCTTTTTAGAATTGCCAACAGAAAGGGAAGGGGGGAGCAGTTCAGCTGCTTGCAAACCAAAACAGAAAGGGGAGGGGGGAGCAGTGCAGCTGCTTGCAAACCAAAACTGCATTCCAGAAATGTTTTCAAAGGTAGTTTCTAGGTGACCAAAGTTCCTGCCTTGCAAAATTCTAACTGGAGAGCATGATTGATGACTCTGGGCTATGGATGTGTCCCATTGGAGAATATGGATTACAATAAACCCAGGGGGTGGGGGAAAACCAGGGGTGACAATGAATGATGTGCCTCAGAGTCGGCTACTGTCATGCCGTGATGGAATCTGATTCCAAGGGAGAGATGGAACAGCTGACAGAGAGTGGGAGTGTGGCTCCGGTGGCTGTGGAGGAAACTGGGGAAGGGCAAAGTCTGGTTGGGCAATCAGAGGAAGACCCAGGCCCACCCCCTCTTCATCCTAGGGGATGCAGGGAGGAATGGATAAGGGAGCAACGTGAGTTGCATGGTTTATGGGAGAGGAAAGGGCTCTGATCCCCTTCATTGGCTGCAGCTGGGAAGACTGTTTAAAAGGGCAAACTGCGCACGGCAAAGTTGCTGGGAGCAAAGCATGAAACTCTTCTGGTTTGTCAAGTCTTATTTGAGTTCTGGCATCCTCCCAAGTGTGTGTGTTTCATTATCTTTTGATGTCTTCAATCCCTTATCCTGCCCTGTCTCGTTAATTACTGCAGCTGTGGTTTGTGTTGGTTTTGGTTTATAATTTAGATGTACTTTGGGGTTTGGATGGAATTTCTTCCCTTTGAAAACTGTTTTTGGGAGAGTTTTTTCTCCAGCCGATGATAACTGGACCTTGGGGGCCAAGTTAGAGGTATTAAAGGGCTTTTACCTATTTTTGTGATTTTGTTGCTTTTGATCCACACCCCTGCACAATTTTGCGCAGCAGAAACTTCGGTCACCTAGTTACTATCTTTGAAAACGTTTATGGAATGCACTTCCGGTTTTGTGAGTGGCTGCACTGTTCCTTCCTCCCTTTCTGTTGGCAACTCTAAAGACCAGAGAAATATATTATGAGTTGACAACTGTTTAAATGAGTCCTGGCCAATTTTACGGTCTTTATTGCCACAGTTGCTAGCCATATTACAGCGGTGAATCTGGCAGTTAAGCAAATCTGGCTCCCTCCAACACACACACACACACACACACACACACACTTTGACTCTGCTTGTTCGAAGCTCAGCTGGAAAGATTGTCAATGGCGATCTCACAACCATGGGACATTGCAGCCATCATAAATAGTTGCCCGTGGTACAAGCGTCCCCATTTTGATCACGTGGCCATGGTGGTTCTTGCAACCGTTGTTTAAGGGGGAGGGCTGGTGGTAAGTCGCTTTTTTCCGGCGCTATTAGAACTTGGAATGGTCACGAACCAAATGGTTTAAGTTGAGGACTACCTTTTCCTGTAGACAGATTCCCTTGGCAACATCCTGCCGCTCCCTCTAATCTAGAGATTCCAACTTTGGCAACTTTAAGATTTGTGGACTTCAACTCCCAGAATTCCCAAGCCAACATGCTTGAGTAGAGTAGATAGAGTGGAGTAGAGTAGAGTAGAGTAGAGTAGGACAGGACAGGACAGGACTAGGACTAGGACTAGGACTAGGACTAGGACAGAATAGAATAGAAAAGAATAGAATAGAATAGAATAGAATAGAATAGAATAGAATAGAATAGAATAGAATAGAATA